TAAAAAAATTATCCCACTGGCTATATGATGTTACATTAGCCAAGCTGTTCCACTGCTTTGAGTAGTCTCTCTCCTTCCAGAAAAAAAACTATTTCTCCAAATGAACTGGCTATTAATTGAAGGAGACCTCAAAAGATCCCTAAACATATCCCGTCCCATATATTAATTAAAGACAGATCAAAGTGTAGTTTCTCCTATTCTCTCTGGAGGCAATTGAATTTCTGAGGGGTTTCTTTCTGAGTGAAAGATAATTCTTCATGGCATTTCCTTGGTTTCAAGTGCAGAAATGCACACTGTTTGCTAGCTGGCAGCAAAGATGTGGGTGATGTATGAGGAGCAGCCCAGACTGAATGAAGAACATGCTGCTGCCATTTAATCCAAGATAATATATTTCATGATCATAATCCTGGAGTTTTTCAGCAACTGGTTTAATGTATGGGAAAGTATTTGGCTTGCCTTGGAAATGTTTCCCATTTGAAAACAAGCTGCAGTGGGAGAGCTGGCAGTTGCACAGGAGGCTGCTCCGTGAAAATCGGATTTCCCTGAGCGGCGCGGGTCACAGTGAGGGCTTTTGAACAGCTCCCAGGAAAGGCTCCAGGCTGCACAGATCTATCGATGGAGAACCCCTCCGCCTGCCCTCGGGAGGATTGCTGCCACCTTGCTGCTTGGCAGAATAGGGATTTCGGAATGGATTTTATTCCTGGTTTCTGTCCCTTGGGCAAGAGGAATGTGCAGAAGAAGAGCCAGAGCCTGGCTTACACTCATGAGTTAAAAGTCTTGGGACCATATCAAATCTCCAGCTGTGGAGGAGAAGCTCTGTTCTAACTTTGCTCTCAATTCAAGATTATTTTTCTTAACCTCAGCAACTACAGAACCACTAGCTGGGTCTAATTTATTAGCAAGCAATACCAGGACACCTGGTCCTGGTTGAGAGAACACCAGACCAGGTGTTTGCCAAAGGTCTCGTGCATAAGCTCAGGTGATAAACTTAATTTTCTCTGGGGCCCTTACTCTCTGCACAGAAAGCAACAGCTCCCCCTTTCAGGGGTGATGCGAGGACAAGATCTGCTGCGGTTGTGTGGTGCTCAGAGGATGATAATGCTGAAAGAAGCTGCTTGCTCCAGCCCTGGAGAGATTTGTTGCTGTGCCTAAGCCCTTCTGGAGACAGCTTTGTTGTTCAGCGTAAGCATGAGGAACAATATCGCATCCAAAAAAGTTCCTCTCCCACCCTGGCTTGCAGCTTTCCGGGGCTTTTCCCTTGCCTTTCCCAGCGGAGAGGACCACACACCCTTTGGTGCTGGTTCTTTCTTCCACGTATCTGCAGCTTCTATCTCCACCCCTTCTGCCACATGAGGCATTGCCTGCCCTCGAGGCTGCCGCAGAGCGGGTCAGCTCATCCTGGCCCCAAAACCTACACCCAAACTTGCCATTTTGCAGATTTTTTCCTGACCAATCCCTTTCCCCGTGGGACAGGGGGTGTGAATGTGTGCCTCAGTCCTGCAGCAGACATTATGCAGGGGAAGCTGGTGCATGGGGCACGTGGTAGGAGTGTACCCTGTTGTCACACCGTGTGTGCTGCCAGTGAGGGTCCTTCGCATGATGGTTTGCTGACAGAAAGCCGTCGCATCCCCAATTGACCTCCACAAAGCTGTTTCAGTGTGGGTGCAAGGCAGGATCCCTGTCTGGACCAGTTCGTGGTGCCCATCCCCATCTCTTTCTTGAGAATGAGGCATGTTTTGGTCCTTAACGAGCTTGTATGGACTGCATAAAAATACAGGATGGCTTCCTCTGGTTCACGCTGACAAAAACTGCTGCTCTGGCCAGGACTTGCACTGGCCAGGGCTGTACCAGCTACATCAGCTGAACTGCACAGTAGGAGGTAGAGTAAAACTGCCCAAACTTGGCAGAAATGCAAAGGGAGGGGGTCTGCTGCACACAGCCACGAGAGGGCACGAGAAGCAAAGCTGAGACCCGTCTTCAAAAGGCCTCCTTGCGGGTATAAGGATTTATGAATGGCTAGTCTTCTTTCTTAGGGCAGTTATCTGAATTTCTCCTGAGAGCTTTTATGTTTTTTGTGCTTGTGGATGTGTTTTCTCAGTTCTGAGGCTGACATCTACAGCTGAAGGGACACCTCAATTCTTGGTGCATGAAGGAGGACAGCCCTATGACAGCCATTCCCGGCGCACGTTTCCCGCATCCCCTGGCCCTGGATGAGTTGTTCAGTCCCTCTGTGCCTTGTCTGGAGGGGCACGTCCTTACCTGGGGAGTGTGCCAAGAGGGGATGAGTTAAAAGGTGAATTGCCTGCACCCTATGACAATAGCTGCACAGGCCAGACTGACTTTTGGAAACAGGAAATGTTCGGTATTCATGGCTCATTGTTAAACACCCACCAGCATGCAGGACAGAGAATTCGTCCTATTCTGCTCAAAGAGCCACTGCCTGGCTCTATGCTTGCTGTTTACAGTCAGAACCCATGGACCATCTCTCTTGCCCTTCCTGAAATGTCTAAACAAGCATCCCAGATTGCTCTGTGTTGCAATGGGACATTACCAGCTTGTTTCAGGGCCGGGTTGTGTTATTTGTCATGACAGGGAGCAAGCGGGACAGTGGAAACAAGTTGAAGAAAACCCTTCAGATGTGTGTTGACTTCAAGATGTTCCTCGGGAGCTCTTCTTTCTCCCCAGCAATAGAGACAGCAAATAGACATGCGTTGTCCTAGCCCAGAGGCCCTGACTGCCACCTTGGGGCTGGAGGGCATCAAACACCAGGAACTGACCTGGAAGGAACTCTAAGAGACTGTGCAAAATGGCCATCGCACCCCAAGGCAGGACCACCTGTCCCTAAAACAGCCCTGACAGTACCTCTATGAGGTTGGGGGTGGGTTTAATGGTTCTTTTAGGAAGGGCTGGGAAAAGACAGAAGAGAAGAAATGATGCCTGGAAAATAATAATGTGAATCAATGTTTGGTGAGAGGGGAACACAGAGAGGTGAAGAGATCCCTGCCCGGAAGCATCCAGCTGCTTTGTCTGCCTGGCTATGGTTTCGCCTTGTGATAGCAACAGGGTCATGCCTTGCACAAGGACCACTGTGTCCTATGATACCCCTGCCACCTTGCCCCGATTTCGGTCAGTTCTTGTTCCTGCTGCCTCAGAAAGGTTTACTGAGAGTAAGACATATTAGGCGAGAAGTCAGCCTTGAGGGCAATACTGGAAAATAATTTGGGGAGGGAAAGAAAGTACATATTTGGTCAGGTCTACATGCCAGGTCTTGAACCAGCAGAGCTGTTTTGGCAAGAAGTGTGGTTTTGTTTGACTGAAATAGTTATGAATTCAACTTCAAGGCTGATTGCATCTTTATGGCCTAAAATTGCTTTATAGCTGTAATTTATTCTCCCTTTCATACAGGAATAGCTCTGGCAAAGGCTGGTCTTGCTGTAACTAACACCCAAAGGGTGAGCCGAGAACAATTATTCACTGTCTGAAAAAATAGGAACTTGAGGATATCACAAAAACCTGTCAAGCAACACGTTCAGCACCATCAAAGGGAGGCACTTCGTGTACTGAACCTATGGACTGCCTTGGGTGGGTCCTGTGGGTGCTGATGTGAGTTCAGCATCTGGGCAAGTTCATGGACTTTGAAGTACAGAGACCCTACCTCTTCTTGGGCAGCCTTTCAGCCACCAACTACTGGAAGAGGGATTGCACCCCAGCGCAGAAGTACGGCAGAACTGCCTCATTCTTACGCTATTTGGAGACACATGCTAGTAGGCATGGTCAGAGACAGGGTATCGGACTAGACTGGCTTTTAGTGTAACCATATACACCCATGGGACTTTTCACCTCTATGACTGTGTTTACCACAGCTGCTTTGCCAGCACTTCAGGGTAAGGTTTTTGTGCACTCTTGACACACACAGGGCACCTGATGCATAGATTGAGCCTTTAAAGGCCATGGTCTTCTCCCAGGGATGGCCTGCATGCCAGGTGGTACATCTGAAACATTGTGCCCAGATTTGACATCCTTTTTTTACCTGGTTGAAGGTAAGGCTGCACTGTTCAGACAACACTCGCACTTGAAAAGCTACCTTAGCATAATACAATAGAATTGTTTTTAATTTACTCTATAGTTCCTGTGGAATACAAACATAGCAGCAAGGCTCCGATGCAGTGAGGCCTCCTCCATTCAAACCAGTCTTTGTCCTTATAAAATCCTTATAGAATAAAATTTTTATAAAATTTGAATTAAAAACATGGGTTTATATGTTCTTTATAAACACCATCAGAAAGGTTTTTCAAAGCCACAGGGATAAAAGGTGAAATTGCCTTTATTCATCTTAGTGTAAAACAGGAAGATGTAGAATTAATGATTTCTACCACGCTAACCTTTTTCTAACCCTGTCCATTAGATGCTTCTAGTGTCTCTGAACTGAGCCCATGTCTTGTCCTTTAAACATGCCTTTCAGATAATAGCTTATCCAATATGATGGCTTAAATCAGGCATCTACTAAGTTATATACCCTTATTTCTTCTTCCAAAGGTGCTGTGCAATGCCTCAGAAAAGCTTGTGCATGTCAGTTCCTGGAAGAAACATGACTTCTTGCAAGCAGCAAAATCCAATTAGAACCAGCAAGCTCTACCATGCCCTTCCTCTGCATTTTTGTGGAAGCACCTTAAAAATGCCTTCCAAAACAAGTGCACTTCTCAGGTTGTTAGCACAACAACCTAGCTGCAAATTAAGGAGCAAATTTCTTACCATTAATATTCGGGCTTTGTGTAACTGTAAGTCTTGAGTTCTGAAAGGTCATATCTCAGCAAAAGGCAGGAGAAATTTTATTTCCATGGGAATTTCTTTAGAATAATTCACTAGCAACTCTCCAATGAAGAATTCAATTCTCATATGTTATGCAATAGTTTTGCTATAAGAAAAACATTTTTTTTCATTTTTTGTGTGTTCAGAATCTGCTGCTAATGACTCCATTTTCTGTGCATCCCCTCCAGCACATGGTGGTAGTAGTTCTTCTTCTGGAATAAATTGAGCAGGCCAGCATCTTCTTTGTTGGCTTGCTTCATTGTCCTTACTCACCTTTCCAATTTGATGGAGATCCTTGACAATTATTTTTTCAGTATCTTCTAGTACCGTTGTCAATAAATTAAATAGGAGAGCAATCCAGGCAAGGCCAAAAAGAATCCAAATGGCCACCAGCGTTCGGTAGTAGGAGAAGTAACTCCTGCCAGGCTGTTTACCTGCAGATAAGAGGAGAGAAAGAAGAATAAAATTAACAAGTTATAATTGCTTTGCCTGTGTAAAGTGGGCCAGCCTAATGGATTCATCAATGTATTTTATGTTGAGTACTTTAAGGTGACTTTTTCATTGTACTGGAGTCTCTCACCTCCCCAGCATTAGGTTAAGACTGGGCAAGTCTCTTCTTGTTGCAAGATATATGCTGATATATGCTGATATATGCCAGCACAAGCATGCTGGCCTGTCAAAAACATATACTGGGATTGAGGTGAATTAGCAGCAGAGCAGGATATTTTTTTCCCCTTATAGCATACCAATCCCAATTCAACCTCTGCATCTACAGGTAAATGCAATGATGTGGGAACTAGTGCAAAATTGTATTGTATTATCTTGAAAATATTCCCAAACTCCCAAAGCACAAAAAGCAGAGCACAGTAGGCCACTACAACCACACGACTATTACTACCTAGGTTATTGTAATTCTGTGTATTTCTATAAAGTATGATTATAACCTAATAAATATTTGCTTTAAATTATAGGTGCCCTTGATCATACAAAGAGAGTAGTTGCAATTCCTACTTTACTTTTGAATGGCTTCAGGAGCTTCCTCCATTAAAAAACTAGGTGACTAATGAGAGCTCACAGACACATGCCAAGAACTCAACTTTCTGTGTTGGAAACCAGTGGACCGAAGCTTATTTCATGCAGTCCAAACCTCTTAGCATCAGCCAGTATTGCACACCTGCTTTTCTGCATGGTCATTTTGTTTGTTTCTTCAGACGTCCACAATCCGCCACCAACATACAGAGAGCATTTGCTCCTACTGCACTTGGTCCCACACAATGTTATCATCATCATACAGCTGATATGGCCCTGGCATCTGCAGGAAAACTTGGTAATATTGCTTATTGAGTGCTGTAAGTCACTGTCAAGGGTGGCTCCACATAGTAGATAACACAGCAATGTGCGTGGACAGGGAGATCACCACAAACCTGGTGGATCATTTCTCATTGTGAAGCTGCCCAGAAGGAGCTAGGATGCTGGCAACTCTTTTCAAGTCCTGCAGTGCTCTGTACTGCATAGGTCAATGTGCAGGATTTTTCTACTTCATCATGCAAGAGCTCTGGAAATGGGGCAGGAGTGGGCTGATTTGTCCTCATGGATAGATATCCAACAGTTGTTTCTTTTTCTTCTGCAGAGGTTGAGTTGGCAGAGGGGATGCCAGCCTTGCTACAAAGAATCGTCTTTTGTGCTCTTATCTGAAGTTCATGATGTGGGGTTAGCAAAGCAACTAAAAATATCTCTGCAATGTTAACTCAAAACTGGACTTCAGCAGGGCATAAATTCGGTTTACAGCCCAAGGGGAGTTTCACCCTAGAGGTATCACCTATGTGTACATGTATTACAAACAGTTAAATTAACTCTGTCATCTTCCTAAGATGTCTCCCTACCCAAAACAGGCTTTATCTCATGCTTGAAGTACAACAGCTACGAACCAGTTTTGAATTACTAAAATGCAAATAAACCCAAACCTGTTCTGTTCCACTTGGCCAGTGCAAATCCATTTGTCATCTGTAATCAATTCTAAATGCATAATACTCAGAGCAGTCATTGATTCTGCTTGTTTCTTTGTGAAGGTGTGAGGCATTCAACCTATGATAATTTTATCACCGTTGTTTAAGGCCAATTGAGATAAATACTGCAGGGAAAAATATTTCAGCTCCAGTTAAGTCATCCTAATGAAGATGAAATCACAGAGCCAGGAGGCCTATCTAATTGTTATTTTTAAACTGTATTTGTAAAATAATATGGCTGCAGAGAAGGAAAGTGCTATGGAGGCAGTGGTTTTCAGGCTGTGACTTGCTGTCGTTATTGTAAAACACACTTGTAATTTGGGACAAGGGAAGAGAATGCACCAGTTTGATGTCCACTTTTTCTCCTGCACGGCACCAGCCACTCTCCGCCTTCCTGTATTCCACATCACTGAAGTTTGAGGTGCTCAGTATCACACAGGCCAGGGTTACCAGTCCTACAGATGGTTAGGAAAGAAATGCCTGTGCCCTATTGTGCTCCACTGCAGTGACAAAGATTGGCTCCGGCTGGAGAAAACGGTGAGCAAAGAGGCCACAATTGTGTGATACAGATTCCTTGCTGATGCGTGAGTTCTGTATCTTGTTCATGGCAATACTGCTTAACCACTGTTAGAGACAGAGAATCTTTCTCTGGATTATGTGAAAAGGGGAATTTCAGGGGGCACAGGTTTCCTGTGCTTTGTAGCAAGAGAGAGCAGTTAGCTGGCTGGGGTCACTTGGGGAAATGTGGCCTAATCAACTCATTGCCATTGCATGAATTAACCATCAGCTAGGCTACAAGATCATTACGATCACTAAACTCATGCAAACAAGCAAGATGTTAACTGGATCGTCAAAGTACTACCCAGCCTCGTTAGCAGACTCAGAGAAATTAAGGTCAGCAGGGAACACCAGACAGTGTCTGCAAAAGCTTGTGGGCTCCCTCTGCCAAAGTCCTCAACCTGATGTAAGAAATCTTTCAAACACACAGCAAGGCTGCCAGTCTCCAAGGCCCCTCTTGCATCTCTGCAAGGCTTGAGAGCCTAGGGTTTGTTGTGTGGTGGATGTCTGTCCGTTGGAAAGGGATGTGAGGCTTCCAGATTCTCTGTAGGGATAGCACTGGTGCTCAAGTATTAGCTTCAGGGCTTCCTCCTCATATCCCCACTGAAGAGAAGTTCAGGCTGTCAAGATGCTGGCAGGACAGGTTGTTGTAGAGGAATCTTTGATTCTCCGTGGAGTCCAAGTGTTTGATTGCTTCTTCTGTGGACACTGATTTGGTTCCTGGTGATCATTTTGGAGTTCCTCTGGAAGCTTATTCCATGGAGAGTGTATTTTGGTCAGCAGATCCACAAAAGCGTTTCGAGAAGCACTCCAGCATGCTGGAGTGTAGCTTAAACAGTTCATCTTCAGGGGAAATCCTAAGCTCTGGCTTGTGAAGACAGAGAGCCTCCAGTGATGCATAGGAGACTAAAGAAGGCCACTTTCACAGTAATATATATGTTTAAGCCCCACTTCTCACAGAGTGAGTAGATTTCCCCATTTTCCCATGACTGGGATTTCCACCTCTCAGTCTGTTATGTAAAATCATGTCTTCTGAAACATGACCACTTATTTCTTTATTCTACACTTTGAAACATAAGTCTTAGATGGCTAAAGCAGGGATACATGCCTTATTTTGTATGACTATCGCAAACTGTTCCCTTTTGGTATATGCAAATTCCTAGGCTCCTTGAATTCTCCCCCTATACTTCCCCTTCCCTCTGCAAAATACTTGGCTTCTTTGCACTCCAAAGCACCATATTTCATTATATTTATACAATTTGTGCTTTTGTCAGCACATGCAATCCCAGAGAAATGAGTATTTCCCCCAGAACTGTACAAGGCAAAGACTAGTCAGACTCAGACAGATTTGTCTCTACAGTACATTGGTGGCCTGTGCAGTCAACCCATGGTGATTACAGTCACAACACCGGCGCTTTGCTGTGTCTCCTCCCTGAAATCAAACTTACCTACTACATAATCTCCAAAGCCAATGGTGCTGAGGGTGATAAATGCAAAGTAAATTCCTTCGCTGTAGGACCAGCCCTCTGTTATATGGAAGAAGAGTGATGGCAAGCACAGAAAAACTAGGATCCCCGTTGCCAGGAAGAACAAAAGGGTCAGAAATTTGATCTTCTTCTGAAAAAGGAAGAAACCAATTCAATTATAATCATGATTTGACACATTAGCAGGCCATATATAATGGTGGCTATTCAAAATGGGTGGCTATCTAGGAATACCTACTAGGAGCACAGGAACTGAAGGATTTGTATTGAGTGCTCTTCCTCTAAAAGTACCCTAGCCTTGCTCTGAAGCAGGGGGAAGCCATGTATTAAGGGTGTTGCATGTCCGCAGTAGCCCTGGGAGATGTAGTCTTCTATCTGACTGTATCAGCCTCCAGTGACCATGAGTAAGGAGGAATTCCTATCCAGTGACTTTTACTGGAGTCGGACTATTTCCACTTTTCACCAGACAACTTCACTTTTAGTTTTTAGGTATTCATGTGTGGCACCTAAAGAACATTCAAATTTACCTGGGAAAATAGACTTTTAAAAAAAATATTTACACCATTTCTGACAGTAGTATCTCCGAGAGTTCTGATTGTTGACTTTATTTCTCATTGCATGAATGCCACAACTTGGCTCCTACCCAGTGGATATGTTACTACAAGAAGATCTTTAAAAAATGAGCTCCTGATGAAGAAGCGCCCAGACAGTGACTTTTGAACCATCCTACTTCCCAGAGGTCATGAAGAAGCCTTGACTGGAGAAAAAGGCTTGTTATGTATTAAGATTCACCAGCCAGACACACATACAGTTTATGTATAGAATTTTATAAGTCCAGATTGTCTGAAAATTAATGGCAACTGTTGAATAATTTTTCATGCCTTCATGCATTGTGCATATGCTTGAGTCTATATCTGATCAAGCCTTATGTTCTATTTAAGTTTGCCAGACATGGGGAGAAATTTAGCAATTTGAACAGGATTGTCTGTAGCATTCATACCTTGTCCTGAAAGAGAATTACAGTAGGAGACACAGAAAAGCTATTCTCACTTCCTCAGTAGTGGTGAGAGAAGGGGAGGAGCTGCAAATAACTTGGGGCATAACCAGGCAAGACACATTCTGTCTCTAGCCCTTTACAGGTGCCTCCTCACTTTTCAGCAACTGGGCTCAAATGGACAACTTCAGCCTGATGGTTCCTTTCTGTCAAAGTCAAGGGAGAAGATGGATTAAAGGACTGCATAATGAATAAGGAGGGGTGACACACTAGGCATTGAGTCAATATCCATTGAAAGCTCTACAGCTCACCTACTTTTTACAGCTTTTTACAGTTCACCTGCTTTTTACAGCTTTTTACAGCTCACCTGCTTTTTGCTGCCTCAAGATGAGATGCTTAATCACCTCTCTCTTTACTGGTTATAAAGGGAGACAGGTACTTCCCTAGAGTGTTAGCTCCTGCGATAAGCGTCTAGAGAAGTGGGACGAGGTGCCCACTCTCTCCCCTGATTGTTGAAAGGGGCTGGATGTCTGCCAATTAGATGGGTAGACAGAATGCATCCCTTTCTCTGAATATCTCCTCTATGGTTGCCTTGACTGTTTAGCTCTGCAAGTATAGAATGTATCTTTCCCTCTCCTAGCACAATGTCTAACACAGCATAAGAACAAACACAATAGAGGATAATGCCAGCATATATCTTGAGAAAAAAGCTAGAAATGAGCATATAACTGTGTCTGAGTAAGTAAAACCAATTACCTTTCTCATTCCTTTCTCATACAGGAATTTCCCCAGCTTTTTACACAGCAGTGAGAGCATCTTACCGACACGGTGCAGAAAGACAATATTCAGAGGGATTCCAAACAGAGCAAAAAAGACACAGAAGATCTGGCCCCCAGCAGTTTTAGGACGTAGCGTGCCATAGCCTATGAAAAAAGATAGGTCAGAGGAGATATTCTAGAGAACTGAAGCAGTCCATGGTCACATTCACGCCTACCCCAATCTGGCCTGTCTTTGACCCCAAAAGATGTGGCTAGCACTTCTCAGTCCACATGCACTCTTCTTTCTCTGAAAAAGGCAGTAAGCAGATGAAGTGATTCACCCTGCATGTTTTGGGGCATGCTGTGTGCTCCCAACCCAGCCTCAGTGGGAATGAAAGCACAATCTAAAAGCAGTTATGGAAAAATGCTCTGTCCTGTGACAAATACATGGAAAGACAGAAACCAGAGGTCCGGGGACCTGGAAGACATCAAGGCTGGAGTCCCAGGCTGATTGCCATGTCAGAATCACATATAGCCATCTCTAGCTTCTTGTCGATCTGCCTGTGAGTTAGTGACCTCCCTGGCTAAACGCCAGTAAGTTGGTATGTCCAGATACTGGCTCCAGTCCTGGAGGCAGTGCAGTGTGCATTAGAATAGACAATGCTAATTAGTCCAGACCTTACTGGTGGCTGATTTATTCATGCCAGAGAGATATTTGTCTTAAAGTCCTACTAAAAAAGGATTTATCTAAGTAGTGGAACAACAGCTGCAGAACTCCAAACATGTCCTTTAATGGACTGGAGAGTTTGTTCCTCTTAGGCCCCATGAGGTACATCCCTGAGTGCAAGAGTCCTGTACTTTGTCTATATGCTTCCTCTATCAGTGACCCTGAGAAAAGGCACTTTCCCAAGCACAGTTCATCTCAAGGCATCCATTACTTGGAAAATGCAATGTTTTCTTTGGGGGAAAAGAAAAATAAAACAACTGAGTGATTTATTGGCTACTAGGCCCCCAAATGCTTGAGCTGTCTTGTGTTCCCTGTTGCAGAAATATTCCATTTTCATGACAACACCTGGTGAAGATGAGTGGAAGTACCTGATGTACCTTCAGAATAGACCTCTGCGGCAAAGGTGCAGAGAAACAAGCAAAGTTGCACTTTTCCTGGGACAGCCTGTCTGCCTCACTAGGGAAACAAACTTAACAGGAAGCGACTGATTTGTTTGGCAGAGAAATGCTGTAATGACAAAATACAATAATACAGAATGGAATGGATTGGCTAGTAGCAGGGTGCTGACGAAGTAGGAAAGCTTTATCGATATGTGAATGTTGTTGTAACCATGGAACATTTCTCATTGATGTGATGGTTCAGAAGCCTTTCTTTCTTCTACAGCAGGAGGTTGCCACATGGGTTCATGCAACATCTACACACCTGCCATGATGTTGGGACACCACTGGGGCCCTTGTGACTTGTCACACTCACAGATCAGTGGAGCAGCTATGCTTAGGGTGTAGTGGGAGTGAGGCCTCAGCTTCACTCTGCAAAAACATACATTTGACTTTCACTGCATGAGAGTGTGAAGCAGGAGCCAACAGTGTGGATTTTATGCTTAAATTTGGCAGGTCTGCACTTTTGGTGAAATGCAGGTCAAATGCATATTTGAGAGAAAGGGAGAGGCAGGCAGGGGTAGGCAGCCCCTGAAAAGGTCAGAACAGCTTGAAGCAGCAATGTAAAAGTCTCAGCATTTGCCCTGCCCCCTTCCCATTTTTTTCCTCTTAGCATATTACTAATTCAGTATGTGCAATAACAGCTCAGCACAGGTTATTGAGACAGTGTCCATGCCCAGCAGAGTTCACTTCTTTCCTACCATTTCCTACCTTTCTTTTATGCTTTACAGTACTCTCGGATTTAAAGCCTATTCAACTCTAGAATAAAGACTGGGAAAGTGAAGTTTACCTCCCACCCACAACTGGCAGCAGAGCAAACATTTTAACAGATGGCTCAAAAAGAAGAATCAAGTGGGAAATAATATGAAAGGCCACTGGTATTTCACAAGTCAAAATAATGCTGTGCAGTAGTGAGGTCTCAGGACCAAGTCCATTGCTGCTTACCATCCATGACGATGAAGGGCTGGAGTTTTTATCCGTGAAAGTATTATCCATTCAGGTCCTAATAACCAGACATAATAAGCATCACACACACACAAACACACATACATGGAAAGCATTAGACCCACCTATTGTGGAGACAACCGTGCCTGCAAAGAAGAAGGAGTTACTGAAATCCCAGTTGCTGTCTTCAATCTGTGATTCATTTCCAACAGGGTATACTCCATTCTGAATGGCTTCAGTCAGGTTCTGGGAGGGAAAGCGAAGTTTGGTATCAACACAGCTGCTTTTCTCAAGTGCTTGCTGCAAGAATACTACAGATTTAGCCAACTACTGCTCCTTTCCTGTGAATACCACCCACCTGTCCTCAGCAATACTCTGACACCATTCACACCTTTACCTCCAAGGCTGGGTAGCAACCAGCCGGTGTTTTTGAGTGTTAGTCTTTTGCCCTGTTTATGCTGACTGCTCTAGTGGGTGTTAGGAGAACTTGTTTCTTTTAGCATGATCAAGGACCTCAACTCTTTTAGGCTAAGTACTTCGGAAAAAATGATCCTATAGATGACTAGGACATGGCAAAGCAAGACAGCCCACTGGCTTAAGTGATGGAGTGGTTGGTTACTTGTTTTGAGTTTGCCCTTGAGACAGCAGTGGTGGATCCAGGATCTAATCACCCACCTGTATGCAGATGCACTGAGCAGTGACTCTGATCCCTCCCAGGAAGGCATCAGTGAGTTATAGCAGGGTACATGTGACATACACAGAGATTTCATTTTAAGGCCGTATTCTGGTTAATGTCACAGATTTAAATTCAGAGAAAGTCCATTGATTTGCAAAGCATTACTCTTGGTGCTACCAAAATCAGAATTCAGCCTGACATATACACTCTTCTCCAAACTGCATACATGAACACACATGCACATATTCACAATGTGGCCTCTGAGATGAGGTTAAATGAACATCTGTCAGAGATGGTTTGGGTTGAGTTGAGACTGCCCTGCCACAGGGGGTTTGACTAGATGTTTCTCCCAAGCCCCTCCAGCCCTATCATTTAGGGCCTTTATGCATTTTCAGACTCTTCCTTTCTTCCTTGGTTTTAATTCTAAGTGCTGTTAATTTTTTTTAAGGTTAAAAGAATAATAATAATTAAAAAAACCAAACAGTGTGCATCTGTCCCTGCCTTTAGCAAACAGAGAAATTGGACTGGACATCTGGAAGGCAAGCTGGTTTGTACAGAAACAGCCTAGATAAAATCCAGGGCTGAGCCCTGCCAGAGGCAAGACACAAGCTAGAATAAACTGCACCAGAAAAGCCTTCCCCCCCGCCCACCTCTTCCTCCCTCACTATCTTTTCTGCTGGTGTCCCAGAAAATCAAGGCTAACAAATCATTCCACAGCCCTTGCACAAAGATTTCATTGTCTTGAGAAGTTCCTCTTTTTTTTTTCTCCTCCCCTGCCCGCAGAAAAAAATCCAAGGTGAAGAGGGTGCATAGTATGTGAACTGGGGGCTGGATCACCGGTTGTTTTATTAGAAATACCAGTTCTTCCCTTCCTTTCCTTATCCTGCGAACTGGCCCATTACGAGCTCCATTAGTTTCCCATGAGGAAATGCTTACAGCAAGGCTATTTGCATTCCTGATTTTCTTCTGCGTTGTAGCGGATAGAGCTAGGAAATACCGAAGATGAAGAGACAACCATACTCATTCTCAGCTTCCTGTGCTGTGACCAGAAACACCTTTCACTTGGCCAGGCTACCTGTTTCACTTCTGCAGCATCTTCAAAAAGTAAACCCTGACTATGCCACCTTCCTTGTAGTGATTTGGGCTTCTTATTTTCACCCAACAGATTATTTCAGACCTTGCGATATTGTTACTTTTGTGTTATCTGTGACACTGTTGTAAGTGGCAACCATGCCCATTCATTTCAGTCAGCCTCATTTTTCCTGCCATGCCACCCGTTGTAGATGAGCACAGCCCCACCGAAAGCCAAATCAACGGGAGGCAAGACCCCAAAGAATCAGGACATCACAGGATGGGGACTGCTAATAGATAACACACAAGGTTTTTCAAGCTACACAAGCTGTATTTACCATCACCGTGACCTGTCTGCTCAGACCAGAAAGTGGGCTTGGGGTTTGCTAAAATCATCCAAATGACCACATCAGTAGGAATGTAGTGACAGTTATCTGTGTAGCAAGGCTGAGTAGGAAACAACATCTGATGGGGAAACAGGAGGGAGAAAGGGCTTTCGCAGGGCTGGCACTTACCTTCATAAACTGCTCCATCTCTGCCACCGTGAGGTGGGTGAAGTTCTGCAGAAAAGCCTCCTTCATCTGGGCAGCTGCTATTTTCTCCTGCTTCTCAGCGGTCCTCTCCAGCGCCTGGAACACGGCTGCACCCACCAGCAAGTAGACAAAGTAACCGGCCACCAGCAAACCCGTCTGCAGCTTGCCACTGCACATGGCCTTCGGTGGGACACGGCAAGGGATGGGGAGTGAAAGATGGCAACTGGTAAATCCCTCGCGCTCCTGGGAAGCCTCCCCCAGACAGGAAGAGCCCTCCCAGCTCTGGTTTCCGCTGGGATCCTGCTCTGACAGGGACAGCGAGCTGTCAAATACATTCATGGGGAAGTTGGGAAAAAAAAACCACCAAACCCAACCCCCCCAAAAAAACTTTCCACTCTCTGGGCTGCATGCTGTTTAGGGATTTCCTCTTGTCTGTGAAACTCTGCCTTGATGAGTTCTCAGGAAAAGTGGGTCAGGATGTGAGGAGCTGGCGGGTGGCCATCTCCTGCTCAAGAGGCTCTGGGGACAGGTGAGGATAGCCTGCAAAGGGCCCACAGGGGAGCTTGCTTGGAAAAACATTATTTTCCCTTCTCCCTTCTCTGCCTCTTGCTAACTCTGAGAACTGGATGCCAGGGCAAGCCCCGATGACTCCAGAAGCCCCTTCTTGCCCTGTGTTCAAGGGCAGCTTCAGGGAAGTGCCGCTGGGCTGGTCTCCTGTGTTTCACTTGTCTGCTTGCAGCGCAGGGCAGGGTCATGCAGTTCCGCATGGCCACAACAACTCGCAGCAAAACCTTGGACATAGAGGCAACAGCTGCAGGTTGCATATGTGCCAGGTTTGGATAGGTTCTTCTGCCAACATTTCCTATGCAGTGTATCCAAGAACGGACAAGTCGTACGAGGAGCGTCTGAGTGATCCGGGGTTGTTTAGTCTGGAGAACAGGAGGCTGAGGGGAGACCTTATTGCTCTCTACAACTAACTGAAAGGAGGTTGTAGTGAGGTGGATGTCGGTCTCTTCTCCCAAGTAACAAGCGATAGGATGAGAGGAAATGGCCTCAAGTTGCGCCAAGGGAGGTTTAGACTGGATATTAGGAAAAATTTTGTCCTTGAAAGGGTTATCAAGCATTGGAACAGGCTGCCCAGGGAATTGGTTGAGTCACCATGCCTGGAGGTATTTAAAAGACATGTAGATGTGGTGCTTAGGAACATGGTTTAGTGGTGGGCTTGGCAGTGTTATTTTAAAGTTGGACTCAATGATCTTAAAGGTCTTTTCCAACCTCAATGATTCTGTGACTCATGATTCTGTGATTCTATGTTACCTACAGTAAGGTAGCCTCTACTGATTTCAGAAGGATGGTTCCCATGCATTGGGAACTCACTTATGGAAGTGTCAGAGCTTGTTCCCGTCTCCTTCAATGCGAATTTGGTTGCCATTGAAAATAATTTGTAGGGTGGCAGAGCAAAGTCTTTGAATGATGATATTGACTTTGGAACAGATACCAGACAGATCTGAGCTTGGCTGTACCATCGACATTCTTAACACTCAGATTAACTTGCTTGACCTTAGCTTTTCCAGCATTTTCATTTGCTTTGTGCACAATTTCTTTGTTATTTCACCAAATGCCCTACTTTAATAACGAGAAAACACTGAAGAAAATCAGCCTTTGAAGAAGCATTTAAAATGTGCCACCTATTCTGTTCTTCCAACCTTTGTGGTTTTATTGAGTTTGAAAATACAAGGAAAGGCAGAGACCCTGGGATTAGTTAGCAGAACTGGTGTAAACAAGAAGTGGCAGATGGCTTCACTGTCAAGTGCAGGTTGTCCTTTCACACATAAATCTGTTTGACCTCAGAGGAAAACAGGAAAACTGTGAATGAAGGTAAGTAGCTTTGCAAACCCTTAAAAGTTTAAAGATTTTCTTTAGAGTTACTGGAAAAGGGTTTGTAGAAACAGGATGTGTCATGTTTCCTTTCACTTCTTTTGAAGCTACAGGGTGTCAAAGGTGTGTTTCTCCCTCAGATTTAAACTATTTCTATACAAATAATGACATCTATGGCTGCACCTTTTTGTTTCTCTCAGACTCCCAGCCCTGTGAGACAAGAGAAATCCCTTTACATGTACAAATGCAGCATTTCCTCATCTGCACAGCAGACATGAAGATAATATAGGTGGATTCTTTCTATAATGTATCTGAGGGGAAAATGGATGGAAAAACCATGAAATGCATGGAAGATGTTGAGAATTTTGATATCGACTTCAGTTGCAGTGGTTTGATCAGGGTAGGTAAAGTGCCAGGAAACCTCATCTTTCTCATGCTGTCTTCTCTGAAGTGTATATATACTAAGCTGGGTTTCCCTCTAGCCCCATCTCCAAGACAGCAGGTTTGCTATTTGTGCATGCATCTCCAGAAGCCCTTGACTGCAAGGAAGCATTCAGAAGACTGGTGACCTTTCTTTTCCTCTAGCTCTGGAACAGGGAATACACATTATCTTTTCTCAGTCTGTTTCTTCATACCTGCCTGCAAATCTTTAATAACCACTACAGATTGTTCTGACATGAGAGGAGTGTCCCATCATACAGCATCTTGTTCATGTGCATGCATCTCCAGAAGCCCTTGACTGCAAGGAAGCATTCAGAAGACTGGTGACCTTTCTTTTCCTCTAGCTCTGGAACAGGGAATACACATTATCTTTTCTCAGTCTGTTTCTTCATACCTGCCTGCAAATCTTTAATAACCACTACAGATTGTTCTGACATGAGAGGAGTGTCCCATCATACAGCATCTTGTTCATACT